GCAGGAGTCGTGGATGCGCACTGCCACTGATGAATAGTCCCATACACTGGGACGAAACGACTGTCTTTCAGTGCTTCCAGAGGTTTCTAATGATGGTGGTCTAACAATGATTGATTGATTGATGATTTCAAATGTTTACATTAGGAATACTTTTTTTTTCTTGTAAAACACAAAAAGAAGTTAAGTAACATACTTTCAAAGCGAGGGTTGAGTTTCTACAGTTGAAAAATATCTGGAACTCCAAACAACTTTCAACCAAAACCAAAATCAGGATGTTCAATAGAAATGTCAAGACAGTTCTACTGTATGGAGCGGAAACATGGAGAACTACAAAAAAGACATCATCCAGAAGATACAAGTCATTATGAACAGTTGTCTACACAAAATACTTCAGATTCGTTGGCCAGACACCATCAGCAACAACGAACTGTGGGAGAGAACAAACCAGATTCCAGTGGAGGAGGAAATCATGAAGAAGCGGTGGAAGTGGATAGGACACACTACGAAAAGCAAATAACTGCGTCCCGAGACAAGCCCTCACATGGAACCCTCAAGACAAAAGGAAAAGAGGAAGGCCAAGGAATACATTACGCCGAGAAATAGAGAAAGATATGAGAGGAATGAACAAACACTGGACAGAATTGGAGAGGGAAGCCCAGGACAGAATTGGTTGGAGAAAAGTGGTGGGCGGCCTATGCTCCACCGGAGTTAATATGCGTAAGTAAGTAAGTAAAGCTTGATCCGATGAAGTGCTGATGAAGTCCGTCTCACATAACGACAAAACAGTTTTTGCAATATACCTTAGTTCATACTAAGATCAATCTGTGACAGAATACAACCTAAAAAAGAAACTACATAGTTTTATATATTTAACAAATAAAAATACAAAATCGTGTACTTCCATTCTATGAGAAATACTTAAAAATTCACTAAATGTTACATTCAAACTTAAAATGAAGTATACTTTCATTTGTGTGTGTCTGTGTGCGTGTGTGTGCGTAGTACTAGTGTTTTGTCAGTTAAAGAAATAACTTCACATTATAGCAATAATACAAGATGTTGAAAACACCGGAAAGATAGACAGACAGACAGATTAATTTCCACTTTCTTGTTTAAGTTGACCACGCTATTGAAAGTGAACAAGTATGAAAAAAAATTTTGTTATGATTGGCAAAAACAATTAAAACAAAGAGACAATGAATTTTTTTGGAAATGAAAAAATTAAAAACACAGATTTCCTTAAGTTGTTTAAAAGGAAATGAAATATCTTTAATGATCATCGATAAAGTTGACGATTTTTTTTTATTTTGCCGCGAAAATCGATTGAGGTTGTTCAATATTCAAGGTTGAAATGGTTGTATAACTATTTTTTCAGTGTGTTTTTATTGCATACATAAATTTGATTTGTCTGGAAATAATAAATTGTAATGAAAATTTAGGAGGCGCTAACGAGACCCAAGGTCTTGGGTTCAGTCGCCATCATGTTATCGACTTAGACAACCACCGGCTTGTGCAATACGACGAATTGTATGTAATTCACCCGTATTGGTTGTTTAAATCTCTTGTTCATTGATGTCTACGATTGCATGTGTATGTATCACATATCACAAGCAAGACTTAAAATGGTAATGTCGAGACAGTCCGCATAGAATGAAACATGAGTTCTGGGTCTCAAAACGGGAATACGATCGATTTACTATGAAAATAATAGCTTCCTTGCATTACTTACTTACTTACTTACTTACTTAGCCTGTTACCCCCCAATGAAGCATAGGCCGCCCCAACCAGTTTTCTCCAATCAACTCTGTCCTGGGCTTCCCTTCCCAGTTCTGTCCAATGTTTGTTCATTCCTCTAATATCTTTCTCTATTTCTCGACGTAATGTGTGTTCCTTGGCCTTCCTCTTTTACTTTTGTCTTGAGGGTTCCATGTGAGGGCTTGTCTTGTGACGCAGTTCGGTGCTTTTCGCAGTGTGTGTGTCCTATCCACTTCTACCGCTTCTTCCTGATTTCCTCCTCCACTGGGTGCATGAGATTCCCACCCTATCAGTGCCTTTTGTGTATGTTTAGACAGCACCTGTGCAACTCCTTGTATATGTGAAGCATTTTGCTCTTCATGACCAGAGTATAACAGCAGTTTTCCTGAAGCTAGTCTCAGTTGTCCTACCTGTGTCCAATGCATTTCACTGATGCCGAGCACCTCGAGTTTGTATCTTTTCATTTCTGCCGCAACTTGAAATAGTTTTCCAGTCCCCAATAATGTACGAACGTTCCACGTACCTAAAAGAATGGTTGCTCTGGTTGTCAGGAGAGGCTTCGGCCCCGTGACTTCCGAGGGAACTCGGCTTTCATCACGCGACGTCATAATTCTTCTTCCAACTCCCAGGGCAGAGTTGAAATGGTTTGAATTATTTGTTCTGGTTAGCGTTTTTTGGCAAGTTAGTTTTAGTTGGGATGGGGTCGCCAATCCCATGTCCAACCTTCCTCCTTTATCCGGGCTTGGGACCGACAGTAGACCCGAAGATTCTACTGGCGGAGTTGCTTTCTTGCATTGCTTTTTCATTAAAGATCAACATTGTTTACAACATTTTTTACCGTTTACTTACTTACTTCTGTTACCCCCAATGAAGCATAGACTGATGACCAGCATTCTTCAACTTACCCTATGCTAAATCTTCCTTTCAAGTTCTGTCCAATTGTTGTCCATTCTTTTCATGCCTGTCTCCACTTCTCTGCGTACCTACCATGTTCCTTGGCCTTCCTATTTTCTGTTGACCTTGAGGACTACCAATCAGAACTTGTCTTGTAACGGAATTGGTTACTTTCCTCAATATGTGTCCTATCCACTTTCAGTGCTTCTTCTGTTTTATACATGCAAGCAGACACTTTCATGTTTTGCGTCATATGAATTCACTGCGGTCTACTGCGAGTGGAGTAGATGGAATTTATGCCAATTTATGCTCGATATGGTTAGGGCTTCTTACCATATTTGGAAGATTTTAGAGGCAAACAAAAATCGCTCTCAGTATGGCAGATGGAAACTTCTCCCAAGTATACTTTATGTGCATAAAAAAGTACACATCTTCCATATACATATATATATACTAGTGATATGTACATAGGCATGGGTGGGCGCGGTCACTAGTATGTCTTATATACAAATATAGAATGCCTAGACATAGAATTTTGTGCACGCAAATAGACATTACATAAATATACAGTGCTACATTTACCCCAGGCCGTAACCCATAGATAACTGTTGTACAGAATTACTATCAAGTAGTTAAGTCAGCTTAGCAAATAAGTCGTCAGCTGACAATATACTTACTCCTTCATGCTCATAACATTATAGATGTTGTGTTGAACTGTGGGCCGTAGTAACAGTACACAGTCTACAGTCATCACTGTCTCATCTCAACTAGACTTCATGCTCCTATCTATATAGAATCCAGACAGTTCCGAAACAAATCAGAGTTCAGAGACAGAGTAAAGAATTAGCCTAATCTTCATCTGACCTCTAGCTTTAGCTCGTAAACAGTTTAGCTCCCACTAATCTCGGGGCATACACTACTCCAAAATCAACCGTACTGGACAGATTTTCTTTCATTTGATCAAAACTTATTAGTGCAACATTCCTTAATCTTAGTCGACTTGACAGGTTATATGTATATTATATCTAGCTTAAAACAATAGAACTTCATGAAAACTTTTCCATGCGATCTGGTCTGACATGACCGTAAACTATCTTTGTTGTAAATGACCTACTAATTGAAGAACAGACAGGCAGATAGATACAACGCAGAACTTCGAACGTACGTACGTACATCAGTTCATGTTGCCATATCGCATTAGCACGGAGACGCAATTGTCAGCTCAAATCCAAGAATGATAACGATATTAGAAGTATCAGCAGTAATAGAGAAGATTAGGCAGCGAGGATATTATTCAAGAAGTGAGATAAATTCAGAAGTAGAAAGATAGAGATTATGAGGAATTCAGAAGGTTAGAATCTGAGACGACACAAAGAGTGGATGCACCTGAGCCATTGCAAACGATTTTGAGCCATGTCCTTCAAGGTCTCTAATCATTGGTGACTATCGTCTCACGGACCCCAACCAGGTAATCAACACCTACATCTACCGACATGGCTAAGTCCATTTGTCAATGATTTCATGGATTTCTGCCATGTTTTGGTTTGGCCACCCCTATAGTTTTCTTCCAACCTATTCCTACACCACAAAACATTATTATTATCTTATAATCTTATTGATATGACTCATAGTTTTATTCATTTCCATAAGACAAGCTTCTTGTAACGCTGCTACGTATAGCTCTTCAGTCCTAACAGCGTCCAATTCAAATATTCCAATACGACCCGAAATGCTATTTCCAAATCTCCTAGAAATCAGAACTCAACACCGTGGAAGGGAGTTGTTTATTGGGTCGAATACAGAAGGCAGGGGAACGGAATTATTAAGTCTTTCACACAGTACGTATTTATACATTAAGGTCGAATAAGAAAGAGCATCAACGTCTGTGACATTGACAGTTTAGGCCGACCAATAGAAAAGAACATTTGAATGACATTGACAGTTCAGATGACCAATAAAAAGGAGGAACATTGAAGTACTTGACCTTGACGGTTAGAACGATCATAATTTCGGCCAATAGGATTGTACTTCTAAAAATAGTATTCTTAGGATATTTGGTGAATATTCTAACAAAGCTATATTGGTCGGTCGGTAATGTTTGCTCGTTTCACTGGATAACTGTAATAATTTCCTTAATTACTTGTACTGATCTAATTGTTTTTCTTATGTTTCTTAGAAACAAATTAAGTTTAAAGCCAAGTTATCGTTGCCAAGCTAACTTATAAGCTTTCCCATAGACTGACTACTCAGTATACTCTCCAATATAATGCCTTGAAGTTATAAAACTACATTTGTAGGCCAAATTAAATATTACAATTCATTTTATGTTGTCTTATTGTTTGTTTTTCTAGATATTTGAAACTGAAATCAAAGTAGATCAAGATTTATGGGAAAGTATACAAGATGAATTACGCTTTGAATTATCCTATTAGTGAATGTGTGTGTGCGCGGGTGTGTGTGTGTGTAGATTGGGAAAGAACGATCAAACACAATCAACACCTCTTGAAATTTGTGTACAAAAATCATGAAAATCATTGAACAGTCAGTCAATCAATTAGGCACTTCTTAAAAACACACAAAAGAATTAATGAAATTAAATTAAAATTATTTATAATTATTTTATTTTTGTGATAAATAAATTCTTCGGAAAAAAATATATTTATATATCATTGTTTATTTTTTTTTTTTAATAAAGTTGAAAAAACAAAATCATCAAATTATCATAAAATTCCATGAAAAAAATAATAAAATAAAATAAAATAAAAATTTATTTTTCCCCTTTTTCCTGTTGTTGTAATTATTTATTATTATTATTATTATTATTACTTCGTGGAATGCACCTTTTGTTTGGTGTGTGTGTGTGAGTGACTGTGTGCATCTTCTGATTTTGTACGTTCGTTCTCCTTGTGTATTATTTATTCAGTGACAAAAAAACAAACCAATCCCAACAAGTACATAGTTTGTGACTCTTTTTTTTTTTAGAAAGCTCTTTGTATTAATCCTCTCCATGATTACATAATCCGTAACAGATAGATAGATAGGTAGTTATGTACATTCATAATACATACCTACGCACATATATATATATATATATATGTGTGTGTGTGTGATATCGTCGATTCCCGACTAGATTTCGTGCATATTTTTTTTTAAAAATACAAAGCGCGTTCGTCCATTTCATGAAACCTACACACATAAACACACGTGCGCGTACGCGTACCTCTTCTCTCTATCTCTCTCTGTTACATCATTCATATTATATCCAGCCAGTCACATTACACACACACACACAATACACAGACGATTATTACTATTATTATTATTACTGTATTCAGTACTCTAATGAGTGATATATATATATATATATATTTATATACATATTGTCTCTTTCAGTGTAATCTTTGTGTCATTGTTAATATAAATTGTATTGAAATGTTTTTGCAAAAATTAATTAATTTCAAGAGAAGTCAGAAAAGAAAAAAGTTTTCCTTCATGAATGGTGATCAATTGTGCAGAATAATTAGTTATTATTGTCATGATTATTATTATGGGTGAGGTCGCGCAAAATCCCTAGATCAATCAGAGTTAGACATTAATTAACACTGTTGGATGTCGGCCGGCCCAGTGGTCCTATGGTAAGGCGTTCGCCTACAATGCCAAAGGTCCCGGGTTCGAATCCTGCGAGGAGCAGGAGTCGTGGATGCGCACTGCTGCTGAGGAGTCCCATACACCAGGACGAAACGGCCGTCTTTCAGTGCTTCTTCCAGGTTTCTAATGGTGGTCTAACAATGATGATTGATTAATGATTTCAAATGTGCAAAAAACGCAAACCTCCAAAACTGTGCCCCAAAATTATTATTATTATTGTTGTTATGATTGAAACAACAGTATTATAGATGATAGATAGATATAAATGATATTTTCAGTTAGAGTTTTGGAGGTTTTGTGTTTTTACACATTTTTTGAAATCATCAATCAATCATTATTAGACCATCATTAGGGGAACCTGGAAGCACTAAGAGATGGCCGTTTCGTCCTAGTATGGGACTACTCATCAGTGACAGTGCACATCCACGACTCCTGTACCTCACAGGATTCGAACACCGGGACCTTCGGGTGTTGTGCGCGAACGCCCTAACCATCGGACCACTACTAGGCCGGCATCCAACGGTGTTAAAATGAGGATAGTCGGTCATGAATTGATTGATATTTCTACAAATTATATATCATGCGAAAGTCAAATCAAAAAAGAGAAGAGCACTCTGACAATAAATTGATCGAACATTAGACATGAACACCGTTAGATGCCACCGGCTCAGTGGTCAAGAGATTAAACGTTCGCGTGCAACACTGAAGGTCCCGGGTTCAAACCCTATGAGTAGCAAGAGTCGTCGGTAAGCGTTGGCTGATACAAACAAGTCAATTATCAAAGGAAACTGTAGAATTTCATTGCTATCAGTTCATAAGCATTCTAAAGAAAATGACTATAAGTAGTGAGATCCCGTTTTTGACTGACTCATAAGCTGAATCTACCCGCACATCCCTGAGTTGATGTTCACTTTGAGACTCGAACCCAGTACTGTTCACTTTAAACACTATCGTATTATTTATTCATTGAGTCAAGCAGTTTATATAACCGCCATTGCTTATTCAAATTGTTAATTCAGAAATCAGAAATTTAAATACATATTATTTGATTGTGTTTTAACCAACTAACTCCCTTACAAAATTAATAATTCATGTGAACACAATAGAACACATCACAGTAACATTGTTAGCCGGATGGATTGCTGACTAGGACTGACTGCTGATCAAGCAATAAAGGGTGTGTGTAATGTGTAGACAACAAGTATATCAATAACAGTAAGGGCGAGAACTGACTAGTAAAAAAGAGAAGGGGGATAAGATTAAATAAATTCCATCTGCAAATGATTGAAGGCTGTAAGATATTTGGTTGACTTTATTATGTGAAATAACTACAACATGAATAATAATAATAATAATAATGGCATTATGCAGACATCATTATTAGTGTTCAATTAAAAATTTGATTCAATGAAAGAAGAATAACTGAATACACAGATCAATTTAGAACAGAAATAATTGCGATGATGATGATGATGACTCATTGACAGTATAACACGTAAGTTACAAGTCATCATTATTATAAATATTCCAACTCCCTTGGGGGGATCCCTCCATTACTACATATGATAATAAGAGACTAGATTTTAAAAGAAATTTCTCTCTATTCATCTTATTTTTTTTAAAAATAAAATCCACACCTTACTAAAACCTAGTCACGTTCAACTCTACGCACATGAATAATTTGCAAATTAAATACTAATTTCTATTGAAATGATGAATCGTTGATTGTTAGGCCATTATTACAAACCTGTAAGCACTAATGACTTGACTTGTGAAGAAATTCTTCAAGTTACAGTGAGAAATCGAGACCACTGGAGGGTTACATGTAGGCAGTAACTACCGAAGACAATGGGCTAAGGTTGATAAAAAAAATCCTTAGATTGATCAGAGTTACACATTAACATTGTTAGATGCCGGGCTTAATGGTCTTAGAGGTTAAGTAAGCATTCGCTCGCGAGACTGCATGCAGGTCATGGATGCGCATACCAGGAAGAAACGGCCGTCTTTCAGTGCTTCTAGGTTTCTAATGGAGTGGTCTGACAACGACTGATTCATGCTTTCAATGGAAAACAATAATCTCTATAACATTATAATGTAAAATTGATTTATTGTTTTTTTTAGTATCGAGCATACGTAGCAACTTTGAATGGTTTGTAAGGTGTAGGTGTCTCCGAAGCATTGCTCGTTTATCTTGGGACTATCGAGTAAGCAATGTTGTTGTTGGGAAATGGGTACTAGGCAAGGTTGGCAGACCAGTAGATAAGTAGTAGTGAATGCTCATCAGTTGAGATTGTTGGGACATATGTTTCGAATGCCCAAACACCGATTCAGTCAGTCAGTCAGTCAGATGCAACGTAGAACTTCGTACGTAAGTACATCAGTTCAGGTTGCCATACCACATCAGCACAGAGATGTAATTGACAATTCAAATCAAATAGTAGAAGAGGTAGTCGATGTAGTAGAAGTAATCGGAAAGGTTAGGATTAGAACACATTATTCAAGAAGTATGATTCAGTGAGATAAGTTTAGAAAGTCAAAACTAGATGTGTTGAAGAATCCAGAAGATTAGGATTTGAGAGAACACAAAGAATAAATGCACCGGCGCCATTGCAAACGATTTTGAGCCATGTTATTCAGGGTATCTAACCATCGATTATTATCATCTCGCGGACCCCAACCTGGTAGTCAACAATTACCGACATGGCTAAGTCCACTCGTCAATGACTTCATGGATTTCTGCCATGTTTTGGTTTGGCCGCTCCTAACTTTCTTCCAACCTACTTCTACACTACAAGACAAAGCTCGACGAGGCAATCGTTGGTTAGGCATGCGCAACACATGTCCTAACCACCTCAACTGATGAAGTTTCATTACTTCATCTATTGATCTGCCATTCTTACCTAGCACCCGATTCCTAATAACAGCATTGCTCACTCGAGTGTCCCACGATATACGAGCAATGCTTCGAAGACACCTATGGTCGAAAACCAATAAACGACGAGTATCTTCTACTATCATTGGCCATGTTTCACAGCCATAAAGTAAGACGGAGCGAACCACTGCGCAGTACACCCGTCCTTTAGTCAGCAGACGGATATCTCGCCTACGCCATAAGTGACGCAGGTTGGCAAAAGCTAATCGAGACTTCTGTATCCGTGCTCAGATTTCGTCAGTCACCAGGCCATCAGCACTGATGAAACTCCCGAGATAAGTGAAGCGGTCTACACGTTCGACTACTTCACTCCCTATCACTAGTTCAGGTGCCGATGCAACCCAATCTTGAAGCAACATTTTGCATTTCGAGAGGGAAAACCGCATCCCGAACAAGCTTGCATTGTTGCTTAGCGTGGTCAGAAGACTCTGCATTTTGTCAGCGTCATCATCAATTAGGACTATGTCATCGGCATATTCTAAGTCAATAAGCGAACCACCCGGTAAAAGGTCTACTCCTGAAAATTCAGATGAGGATAAGGTTATTTCTAGCAGCATGTCAATGATAAAATTAAACAAACACCGACTGGCTCATTGAGCTATGTTTTGTGGTGTAAGAGGAGTAGGTTGAACGAAAGCTAGGGGCGGCTAAACCAAAACATGGCAGAAATCCATGAAGTCACTGACAACTGGATTCAGTCATGTTGGTAGGTGTTGATTGATTACCTGGTTGGAGTCCGCGAGACGAAAGTAACCAATGATTAGAGAGAGACCTTGAATGACATGGCTCAAAACCGTTCGCAGAGTTGCAGGTGTATCCACTCTTTTTTTTGTTCTCGAAAATCCCAATTTTCTGTATTCCTCATGACTGTTTCCTTTATAACTGATTCCTCCTCTAGGACATTTTTAATTTTAAAAATGAGGCATTTTGTTGGTATTTAAAGTGAAATTCACTAAACATTTGTCAAACATTTTAGAAATAAACTAAATTATGACACTTCTGACTGATTCAGCGCCATTCACTATCGATTTATTTGGTGTACTTTTCGGGATTCTGGTTGTTAACAACTCCCGACGATCTGGCCAACCAATGTAAAGGCTACCGCAGACACAGATAAATACATCTGGAATTAACTGAAACAGGTCTGTTATGTAAGTTTTAGGGGCGATTGTTTACTGAAGAATTTGATTTGTTGACTTGATCTCCTTATAGAATAAACTTACGAATTTAAAAAATGAAAATACTGTCTGGTTCATCAACTCTAAATGAAGAGTGAATTATAATTCTGTTATAAGTGTAAGGATAGTTTTCACTTCACAATTACTTACATTGTGAAAGGAATACACTTCTTATTGATAAATCTAAAAAGAAAACTTGGTCTAAAATAGTTGATCTCGTTGACATGATAGTGTCATCATTCAACAAACAACCATTTCTAATTGATGACGCATGGAC